ACTGCTGCTGCGGTGGTACGTGTTCCCGCAAGGTAGATGAAGCGGCAACGGCCGCCGTTGTTCTGGTGTACAGCATGATTAGCCAGCCTCGACGCCTCCAGGCGCGGTCTGCCGGCGCCTGGCACAGCATCCGCACAATTTCTTCGCAGTCAGCCGCGTCTCTCACGGAAGCGGGCACACGCGAGCCGACGAGGCCTCTAAGGCGCGGAACGTTGATACGCTGGGCGGCGGAAGATTCGGGCAGCGGCACACTTGAGGGGCAGGGCGGTGTCGTCTCCGACACCGACGGCAACGAGGAGAGCAGCAGCGTAGAGGGCGGCGTGCTCCGCGGAACGCAAGACAGGTCATCGGCACCCCACCGCAACAACTCTTTCACGCACCCCACGGCGGCGTTGAGGCAGGCGAGCTTCAGAGGGCTCGTCAGCCCATCCGCGGACACGACCCCGATGTCTGCACCCGCCGCCAGGAGCATCCGGACGATGGGCTGGGAGGCGGCGCAGTGCAAGGGCGACATCCCTCCCTCCCTCGTCGGGGTCTTGGCGTTAGGGTCTGCGCCGTGGAGGAGCAGCAACTCGGCAACTCTCACATTTGACTCTCGAGCGGCCACGTGGAGAGGAGATTCGCACGCACTCGACTCACTTCCAATTCCGCTCGACAGGCCGCCGCCATCGCGGGCACCAGCAGCACCACTGTTATCGCCGCTCCCGCTCTGATGGATGCCGCCAAACGTGAGGGAAGTGGACGGCGGGGTCCTCCCCGGGTGAACGCGACCCGCGCGCCCCGCGGCGCGTCCGAGGTTAGGGTTTGCCCCCGCAGAGAGGAGGAGCTGGGTCATGTCACCGGGCAACGAAGGACCTTCTCCCGTCCCCGCAAACGCACCACTACCGTCCTCCTCCGACTTAAGAGCTGCCACAGTGTGCAGGCAGCAAGCACCGCGCCTGTCCGGCGCATCAGGGTCTGCGCCTGCTTCCAATAGAGCCTCCGCAGCGCCGACGTGACCCATGCTAAGCGCCCACCGTAGCGGGGTCTGGCCGGACACGGCCCGAGCCTCGAGCTTCGCCCCCCCCCGCCGGATCAACTCGACGACCACAGAGGTGTGCCCCGCAGACGCCGCGGCGTGCAAGGGCGTGGCGCGATCCATCACATCTTCCGCGGCCGTGTCAGCTCCCGCTTCGAGCAAGGCCCGCACCGTCAAGAGGTGGCCCCGCTCCGCTGCTAGTCGTAGGGGGGTCAATCCTTCGTTGGCGCCGGAGGTCACGACTGACTCAGTGGAGGCGCCGGCGGCGATAAGGAGCCGAGCAATCTCAGAACGGTCGTGGATCGAGGCGAGATGGAGGGAGGTGTGACCGCGAGCATCGCGAGTCGTATCAGGGTGCAGCGGAGGAACGCGGTCATCGCTGCTGCTGTCCGACGACTGGAGGCGGCGGAGAAGCGCCCTGGTTTTAGCGGCATCGCCTGATCTTACGGAGAGGAGGAGAACCACCCCAGCCGAGCACGCCCTAGAACAGGACGGAAACGGCTCAGAAGCCGCCATCTTGGTCGGGATTTTGGTGCAGGTGCGGCGGTCGGGTTCAGGGTCCTTGGTGCGGTTTTCGGGGAGCGTCACGACGGAAGGATAGTTCACTGATCTACGAACAGAGTTTGCGGGTGTTAGAAGGGCGGCGAGAGTGGACGAACGCGAGGACGGGGGGAGGGCGGGGGAGAATCAGTACGTGAGATGACGTAATCGAACACGAGGTGGTAGAAAGAAATATTCAATCTCTCAACTAGGAAAAATGTGGTCACGCCGTTACGGCCTGCCACGTTGTGTCAGTGATGGCGCATCAGCAAACACAATACTTTCACGGCGGTAAAATCACCGCATCAACCCTTGAAAAACAGCGCTGGAACAGGCAGAAACACTATGAAATGGGTCTACGGTCAGCCGTGCTCGATATTCCGGTTGAACTCTGTGTGGCCGGTTAGTCGAGTTTATCGGCGTGCTTTTCCGCTTTCGGCTAACTGCATGGAGCAGGGAGGATTGATGTACCCCACCGAGCCTGACGAACTCAGGCCCAACTACACCTAACGTCAAACATATACCCGCTCGAGAAAGTAACCCGTTCGAATGCATGTGTTCAAGTCTAGACAGTGAGGGTTGAGGGACACTCTTGGACACGGGACTTACTTGAAACCTGTGTATATTCCTACATTGAGAAAGCAGTTATACGAACCTGAATAAAACAACTGCAGGGTACAACTTTCGGAACATCCCGTGCAAGCCTCTGCTGCACCAACAGCAAAACGACGAGGGGAAACCCTACCCGGAACGTCGTGTGCGACAATAATTCTGCCTCAATAGGTAGGAACAGACTTTGAAATTGGTTGTCAACTTGCTGGAGGTTATCACCGTTGTTGGAGTGGAACAAACGCTCTTCAGTACCGTGATTATTATTGTGTGAAAAAATGTAGAGACCTTGATTTTGATTGGAAGCGTCTAGACCAGTGTGTGCTGGGTTGCGATCATGAACGGAGCTGTCGTGAAGAAACTTCGTGGTCTCCGAAACGACCGTCCTAATCTCGGCACCTCATGAAAAAACTTTATTGGTCTTTGCTCAAGCGCGTGTACCGCGCATGAGGCGAGAGAGCCAGTCGGTTGCGAGAAAACCAAGAAGTAGTCCATTACCTTGGCACCATGCACAACAAAATGAGTTCGTGGATGTCATGCGGTAAAATGGTGTTCGTTGGATTGCAACAGCGCAGGTTGACCCGCCCCTTTGGAACTTTCAGCATTTAGTCTACACGTGAACAACACAACGAGAGCAAAATGTGCAGGGCATTTTCTGGGATTTGCACCTGAAAGTCAGTCACTGGTGTTCAACAGTGCGTGGTATGCCTGTAACCTGCCTGCACCGAAGAGCAGAGTGGATACTGATGTAAACGTCAATACTTTCAAGTACACGTTGTAGCAGGTGCTTGTATTATAGCGAACGGACGCACCATCAGATGAAGCAATTCAACAATCCTCCGGAGATGGCGTGCCTACAGGCTAAACAACGACATGCCTGACTCGCCGGGATACTCCCGCAGTGGTTGTCTCCATCCCCAACCCCAGGGAACAGCTTGCTAAGAAACGAAGGGGTCTAGGTGGGTGCTACAGTGCTCTGTGAGTGAGTAGTTATCGCAAGTCTATGTTTCGTGGATCAACGAGAAGGTACGAGTTTTTTACACCAAGGGATAGCAACAACCATCTTAACTCGACAAAGGGTCCGGCTCACCTGCGTCGTTGTCTGGCTAACTAAAACTGACGGCACTCCAGGTAGAACGGGAAGCAAACGACCCAGAATCAAGCGCAGCAATTGGCTTTCCTGCTGCTGGTGCTGTGGGAGGTGTACGAGGAGCGTTTCGCGACCCGTCTTCAAGAATACAAAAAATGCCAGTAAGAGACGGAAGCGGGAGTTGGCAAAGACAAACAGGGGGTTAAGGGGGCACAGACGGGAAACAACCTTGGTGGCCTTCCCGCCAGGGTCCTAGATTGATCCTCGGCCACGGCTCGTTTGCTGTTGGCGCTTTCCGCTGCTGTCTGTCCCACTGAAGTACGGAACACGCGACACGCGAAGGTAAGCGAAGGTAACCTCGGCGGAATGCTATGAAGTACTGTAGTTGTAGCAGGAGGACTTCAACAAGGCTGCTCAAAGTGGTCAGCCGTGACGCAGCAGTTCGTGGCTCTAGCCAGTGTCTGAAGGAGATATCACGGACAGCGGAGGGGAGGATGAGCCCACGGGTCTGGAATATGTTCGAAGTGGAGAGAGAGGGAGAGAGGCCAACAGGTGTGTGTGTGTTTGAGGTGACCTCCATGCGTCACAAAAAAATGAGAAAATGAGCGGCATCTGAATGCCGTTTCGGACATTTCAGAACCTTTGCACATTGTACCAACGTACGATATCGCGTGCCCCCCTTGCTGGGGCGCAAGACGCACCCGCTACTGCCGCTGCCCGGACAGAGCGCAGCAGAGGGAGTAGAGCGATACGGCGGTGCGCACGGGGATGGGTCATCCTGATTCTACGTCAGATGATGCGGCAAGACCAGGTGAGGTAGCTGTTCTTTTTGTTTCAAACCACATGTACCTGGCAAATGTACTCTGTTCTCCATGTTTACTTGCTGCTTGAACCATTATACTCCAGACGGGTGCAATAGTTTGCTTACACGGGTACCGCTACCACCTGAGGAGCACACATTTGTGAAGTCACTTGCCATCGATGGTGTGCGTTAAAGGGAATGGTCGTAGCTTCGTATGTGGGGAACTGTTGCCAGTGACTTCAACAGCACCGACTGCTGCAGACTCCGAAGCAGAGTAGTCTACCGCTGTATGTGCCGGCCGCTGCGCACCCGTACGTCCAACGTAGTTGCATAGCAAGCGGTAGGGATATTTCGCCACTCACACCATTTCGTGCCGTCACAGATGGTGCTCAGCTTTGTGAGGGCGATTTCTGCCGCCATGCTGTTGCTAATCTACATCCAACATCGATGTCTTCTGTTGCTGATCTACGTCCAAAGTCGGTGTCTTCGCCGACGCGGGTTTGTCCCGACCTGTATTTCTAGACTATGCCTTTTCCGTCAGGTCCATGTACAGTAGAGGTCCCCGTTTAGTGCCGGTTGAATGGGGCCGGTTGCTGGTATAGTGCCGGTCAAATCTCGGCGCACAGAATAGTGCCAGACCGGCACTATTCAGGGCTGCCCACTATAGTGCCGGTTCGGGCCCCATTGAACCCCACAATAAGGGTCTCTGTTTGGTGCCGGGGTGTGCGCAAAAATTTCACCGGCACTATACCGGGCACCGGCACTATTCTTCAGAGTGCCTGAATAGTGCCAAAGGGGCACTATTCAGGGTCTGAAAAAACTGTGTGATTTCGGAGTGCAGCGCTTTGCTTTGCGGGGCCAATAGAGTACCAAATGAAACGTACATGTTGAGATCATTGCATGGGCGTTGCGGGCAGACTGCTGTGCCACGATAGGGGTGGTTCCTGCCCTGTCGAACACACATATTGTTCTTAATAAGTTAACTGGACGGGACACACATGCTGCACCTTGTTGCTGTACCCACCTCAGCGCACGTACTGCACACTTGCACAACCTGACTTAAACCCTTCACATGAATATCGGAAAGGATGCACTTCATAGATGTGCAATATTTTGTTGGCAAGAATGCCGTGGCACTGGCCTTAAACGGATCAAACCATTTCGCGCAACCGCAACATCACTCCTCGACAGCGAAAGCAAACCACTAATCATGAAGCCCATGGATTTTTGGCGGTAACACTTTTGCGAAGCTCCTGCTGGCACAACCTATTGGTGAAGGAGGAAGCTAAATCTGTCTCCTCCTCACCCTCCTTCGATGTAGCCAGAACAAGGAAAAAAAAAACACGACCGCGAGAACGGGACATGCAAGAAATCAAACAGCCGCTATGGCTGTAACCCCCGCCCTCACTACGTCGCGATAAACTCCCGCATGTCTGCCTGGCGAGCCCGCTTTGCGGTATGCGCTGCGATCATCGCCATCCTCGCTTTCGACAGGTGGTACACGGCGTCTCCGTTGCCACTCTCCTAATCTGCCGCCTCTAGGTACCCGAAGTGAGACGACAGTTCAGCGTAATCCGGTGGGGCACGCCGCCCGCGGCCCGCGTTTTCATCGTCGCTATTCCTCTCCTCTTCGTCGTCCTCTTCTTCGTCCTCCTCCTCTGACCCGGGAGACACGTGCGACCCAGCTAGCTGCGCCGTCATGTCGTCCACCGCGTCCTGCCGAAAAGCTTATACGATGGCCTCGCGGCTGACGCTGCTAGCCTCGCCATGAAGTCTCGTGCTCTGAATGTTGTTGAGCTTCACGAAGTTCCTGACCCACTTGTCGCCGACCTTGAATTCCTGGAGCCTCGCCCTGACTGCTGCAGGAGTTGTGGGCTCAGCTATTATTGCAGGGTTGCCTTGGCGGAGCGGCCAAAGCTTCGAATGACGTCGCGTGTGGCATACATCTTGGCTTTCCGGGCTTTCTCGAGTAGATCAAGAGCAATGGCATCCNAGCTTCACGAAGTTCCTGACCCACTTGTCGCCGACCTTGAATTCCTGGAGCCTCGCCCTGACTGCTGCAGGAGTTGTGGGCTCAGCTATTATTGCAGGGTTGCCTTGGCGGAGCGGCCAAAGCTTCGAATGACGTCGCGTGTGGCATACATCTTGGCTTTCCGGGCTTTCTCGAGTAGATCAAGAGCAATGGCATCCACCTGCCGTCAAACAAAGAGTATCACAAGTTCCAAGAGGGTAGAGATAATCCAATGATGAGCTTCGAATATTATGTTTACGTACATCCAACATTGTGCGGCGCATCCAGGGTGGACCTCGAAGTCCATAGTGTTGAGCTGCTATTTGCTTTGTTTTTTCGAGTTTTGTTCCCATTTGTTTGTTTCAAGTACACTTTGAAGGAAAATACTTGGTTTAATACGCAGGAAAAAGCGACAAGCGTGCACGCTGCATGTCACGTATGTATACTGGCATGCACAGTCGTGCTTGCGGGTGATTTTTTTTTGATAGCTCTGTCGCAGGAGCACAAAAAAACAGAAAAAAAGGGTCCCATGCAAGGGAGGAGAAGAGAAGAGCTTGAACAGATTCACAAAAAAAATGACCTCGACAAAAGGAGAAGGCCTCGGAAGAGTGTCGAAAAAAGTATTCTGGAAAAACAAACCAACAAGTGCAACAACAACAGCAGATTGACACCAGTTTAGCGCACCTTGGGATAATCTCCTTTGCGGATGTTTTTCTTGCTGCCGCTGCCTGCTGCAGCAGCCTCGTTCTCCACCTTATCCCGCTCGGCCTTCACTCTGCGGATCAACCGTTCCGAGCACCCGAAGCGGTCTGCTATCTCTCCTTGAGGGAGCTTCGCATCCACCAGCTTCAGGATCTCGACCTTCTGTTGTACGTCCAGCCGCTTACGAGCTTCGTTCTTACTCCCCCCTTGTGCTTTCGGGCGTTTAGATTGCCCCTTCCCAGCACCCTCTGCTGCTCTCGCTTAGCGCTTGCCAGTGTTGGCTACGCACGTACTGCAGATGTGGTTCAGCTCGCTGTCGTCAAACATGCTTCCACATTCGCCATGGAGCCGCCCGCCGCATCGTCCCCGGCAGATGTGGCCATAAGCGGCTTGTGGCGTTCTGTCTGGTATGCGGCACAGGTCACCTTCCGCACATGGCATGGTGCGCCTCTGCGTAGAGCTGTTCGGGTCTGCAGCAGCACGTGTACCCTCTCCTCTGTGTCTGCCTTCTGTTGTGTGTTTTTATTTTTAGCATCGACCGCGCTAACCGACTGACCAATGAAAATTCGTCAGTTTCAGTGCGGTTGAAAACACAAAACACTTCTATCTGCCATGAACTGGGACCCCGTGAGGGGGCAGCATGGGGGAGGCTAAACTATCCTTCGGATCAAAGACAGAAACAGCAGCAACAGAAGAAAACTGCACGCGCCTACCAAGGCTACGACCTTGTACTCGAGTTCTTCTAGGAGTACTCTCACCATAATCCTCGTTGTTTTCGCTACCATCATTCTGATCCTTATTTTGACAAGAATCTCTGGGCAGTTCTTCCCTAGTCCTACGTTTTTTCTTTTGGGGAAGGTCACCTGGCTCAAACCCTGTGCTCTCTTCCACTCCTCCATGTTTAATGTGTTGTGTGTGCGTGCGTGCTTAACCGGCGCTATTGTGGGGTTCAGTGGGGCCCGAACCGGCACTATAGTGGGCAGCCCTGAATAGTGCCGGTCTGGCACTATTCAGGGCGGGTTCTGTGCGCCGAGATTTGACCGGCACTATATCTGCAACCGGCACTTAACAGGGACCTCTACTGTACATGTACCCATGTACCTTAACCCTTCTGCCTACTGGTTTTGAACTATAGGTCGGCGGCGAAATACAACAAGGCGTTTCCTCTACTTGGTACCGACGACTGCCCTGTTCTTGTCGTAAAATTCCCCCATCAGACCGGACGGTTCAAAGATTTGGAACAAATGATGGAACCACGGATCTCATCGAATGTAGGGGATATGCATATGTGTGCGCAAAGATATCACTCCCTTCTTTCGCTCCGAAAACTAATGAGCTGTCGCGGTGTTCGATAAATTATTGAGAGTATGCCTGACACTCGTTCGTCGCAGCAGTGTTCGGGCGGCGCAGGAGCCGCGGCGGGAGCAGGCGCCGCTGCGGGAGCGGCGGAGGAAGCCCCGCCCGAAGACTACTGCGCCGACCGAGTGTCAGGCATACTNTCCCCAACCGAACCGGGGTTCGGCAGTGTTTGTGGACGCGGGCACTCCGATCGACGCCCTACCCTGCTTCGGTCCCGGGGCCTTGGGCGCGGGGCAGGTCATCGACTTGGAGAGGGTCTTTCTGGCGTCTGGCCCTGCTCCGACCTGAGGAGAATGTTATGGTATTTTAGGAGGTCCAGGATTTGCCGGACCAATATCCGCTTCGCCTCCAGCTCCCTGAAGGCCCTCGACGCCCCAGCCCTCGGCGCGGTCGCCTTCTTCTCCGAGGCCTCCAGCACCGCCGGCCACGAGTCCACACCTGGGCGAAGGTGCACCTTCGTGGCCAACCACCCGAGGGAGTGGGAGAGAGACAGGCGCGACGGAACCGCGCAGCTCTGGCCAGGCGCCAGAAAGACACTTTCCAAGTCGATGACCTGCCCCGCGCCCAAGGCCCCGGGACCGAAGCAGGGTAAGGCGTCGATCGGAGTGCCCGCGTCCACAAACACTGCCGAACTCCGGTTCGGTTGGGGCGGTGGAAGTTGACTCGCGGGCGGCGCAGGAGCCGCGGCGGGAGCAGGCGCCGCTGCGGGAGCGGCGGAGGAAGCCCCGCCCGAAGACTACTGCGCCGACCGAGTGTCAGGCATACTCTCAATAATTTATCGAACACCGCGACAGCTCACTAGTTTTCGGAGCGAAAGGAGGGAGTGATATCTTTGCGCAAACATAAATATCCCCATACATTTGATGAGATCCGTGGTTCCATCATTTGTTCCAAATTTTCATCCGGTCTGATCGGAGTCTTACTTGAAGTATTTTGACTCCAAACCGAGGATCATTCAATGCAACTATTGGATTGGATGAAGCCTTCTGCGCCGGGCCGTGGTCCCGCCCGTCTTTCGCTACCTCCATGGATTTCTCTCTCCACTCCGGCGAGGCAGGACTCACCCAGACTTCCTTCACCTGTGCCGGTACCTCTTGTCTGAACTCCGGGGACAGGGGCATATCATTCGCATCGGCGTAACTCTGCCCCTGGCCCCGCTTGCTACCCGGCGACCACTAGTGGTGGCTCCAATGTAGTGCCGCGCCACCGACTCCGTCTTCCAGCCCCCAATCTGCATGACGCGTTCGTGCTCAGTGTGTCGGGGGGGCGCCGTGGTTGAAAGACGGCTACCCCGGACGACGTGTTTGACTTTCTGGTTTTCTGGATATCCAGGGCAAAGGGGCCAAGTTGGTCCACGCCAAGTCGTGCCCGGGTGTGGGTTTCACGTGGGCGGATGCGTGCCTGCCGAGTTCGTTGTGCACTATACGGTACGCCGCTGACTCCGTGCGAAAAGGATTCCTTTGCAAAGTGAAGATGGCCATGAAGAAGCATGGAAAGGGGGAGGAATGGGACCCGGTCCGCCAGCTGGGCAACCCGTGTGCCAGCCCGCTGTTAGACTCCTACCTCCCCTTTGTTTCGGAAGAACAGAGGAAGGTAGGAGTTTCGGTGAATCAGGCTCAGCCCTGGCTGGCACATACGCTGCTAGACCTCTTGCGGGACATGCGGTCGCGTGCGCAGGTGGCCCCGCAGTTGGGGGACTTCCTCGCATTGACTAGGGACGTCGTTGTGTTTTCGTTGGCGTTCTTTTCGATGTACCGGGGTTACGACTTATCGTTCACGTTGGTATCGGAGATCCTCAAGCTTCCGGGACGGGAGCTCGCGACCTAATTTTCGGTTTTCACTTTGGCAAGCAGCTCCGGGCGTTCAGCGAGGCAGTGGTAGTGTTGGCAGACCACGACCGTCCGGAACTTCGTGCGTTTCGCTCCGGTACGGCGTACATCTCGACCGCTGAGCGCGTCGGTTGGGACCTGTCGAGGGGGGCACTTAATCCCGACGGTCACGGCGGAGGGTGAGAGGGGGGACCTCCCTCTTTCGGCGGCCCGCGTGACGGCCTCCTTGCAGAGTAATTTGCGGGTGGCTGAGCCGCCGACGTAGTTTACCATGCACTCCTTTCGTGTAGGCGGTTCCCTCAGCAAGTCGCTGGCGGGGACGGCGGAAGACGAAATCATGCAGATTGGGGGCTGGAAGACGGAGTCGGTGGCGCGGCACTACATTGGAGCCACCACTAGTGGTCGCCTGTCGGGTAGCAAGCGGGGCCGGGGGCAGAGTTACGCTGATGCGAATGATATGCCCCTGTCCCCGGAGTCCAGACAAGAGTTTGCCGCGTGCGCGGGACGTCAGTAGGTACCGGCACAGGTGAAGGAAGTCTGCGTGAGTCCCCGTCTCGCCGGGGTGGAGAGAGAAATCAATGGAGGTAACGAAGGATGGGCGGGACCACGGCCCGGCGCAGGAGGCCCATCCAATCGAATACTCACATGAAATGATCCTCGGTTTGGAGTTACCACAGAACCGCACCCCCATACGGCAATGACTTACGGCAACGACGGCCTCAATCGTTCCTCGTTTTCTTCGTCGTTAGAAGACGGTTGGCGACTGGTCTTGATTCTTGTCGACATCGCCACGCGTTCCTCAGAGCAGCCCCTCTAACCTCGCCTGTGCCCGCGCAAAGATGCTAGCAATTCCCTCAGCAGTAATATTGTGTCAACATTAGCACGTGACGATTTTCCTAATTCCCGTTGCTTTGATGATAGAGTTAGATGTGCCTTTCTCCGTACCGACACCCATCCCTTCCGCTTTCCTTTTTGCTTTTGTCAGCATCAACGGCGCCACCATCACCATCATCTTGGGCAGCTTCGTCGACTGCGGCAAGCAGCGCGGCAGCGCCGGTTTTCGCTGGGGTGAGAGAACATGAGCCGTCCTCGACAATGTCGCCAAGAAAGCGACGAGGGGTAGGCGGGGAAGGGGCTGGGTCGATTCCGTCCCCTGCTGCCCCTGTAGCAGAAGCACGAACGGCAAGTCACAGGATCGTGAAACTTGCTCCGCGAGTCTACCAGGTGCCAACTTTGAGATATTGCTGGTGAGACTGACTTGTTGTGATTTTCGTTTGTGTGTGCTGTGGTGGTTAGGGACATTGGAAAATCGATCGCGGTTGGATGGCCTTCATTGTTTGTCGACTATATAATAGTCGACTCACATTGTCGGATTAGCCGCCACACAACGCGCTACGCTTTCCCTTGGCCCGTAGAGAGACTGGCCTACCGCACCCTCGATGGTGCACCTACCCTTTGGCTTGAGCCCCCTGCTCCCGCAGCTCCTTCCTGCACATACGCCTTCGTATGTCTCCGTTGCTCCATTTCTCTCTTTTTGTCTTTTATCTCTGTTTCCGCTCACGTCCGAACTTGCACTTGATCACTCTTATCGCAGCGTACAAGTCCTGGCGGAGCACGCAGAAAGAATCGTGGACCTCAGGGGGGTGGGGCAGGATACAGCTAGGCAGCTCTTGGAGGAGATCATGGGAAGGCAGAAGCTAACTTACCCGCTCGCCAAAGTGTTCATGAACTGCGGTGATGACGAACTTAGCAGGCAAGCTCAGTCGTTGTTGTCCAGCTGTTGCCTGAGTTTTCGCTTTTCGTATACGTATGCACATGGCGATATGCTTTCGTGTATGCGTTCGTCCCATCAATTATGGCACCAGCCTACACACGTTGAGGTGTAGCAGTATATGTTTGACGTGTCAGCATGGGTGACACAGGAGACAGGTCGTGTCACTCAAGATAGTGCATATTTTTGGAGATACACACGTCCACTTGGTGCTTGTCTGCCGCCGCACAGTTGTCAGCTCACCCTCGAAAAACAGATACATTTAATCAGCCCTTACAAACTACGGGTTGGTTGATGGCGAGCACCTGAGGTTTTCTGGCATCTCAATGTAAGAACTTCTCAGTTCAGTTTTGGCGCAAATCCCTCATCACGAGCTTCCTTCGACCCAACGCTGTCCTTACTTGGAATCGCCTGACCCTCCGTGTTGCTGTGCTTGTGGCTGTCACGCTCGGTCCTCGGATCCCTGTCCTGGCAGTGCGATCGCTTCGTTAAATCTGTGGGATGCGATACCAGCCGGCCGTCAAGGAAGACGTAGCAGGCATCTGTAGGGAACATCTCACCGTGCTTTGGGAGGCTGCGTCTGCTAAAGGCCAAGGGCGCTTTATTGATCACCGGTTACGAGAGGCATTGTTTTTCTCCGGTCTGCCGCATTCCGGGATCTCTTCGTTTCGTGGGAAATATTTAGCTACGTTTGCCGTGCGCGGGACCGGAAATTTGTACAGGGAACTATGTAGTAGTTCCAGACTTAGAATTAGATCGGAGGGAAACCAGCTCGAGCATGATAGTTCTGACAAAGAGCGGGATCCGCAGATTGCTGTTCACCAGGCCGTGACGGTTGCTGAGTTTCTTGCACTTGTTGGGTGGCCGCGTCGAAATAGCCCCGATACCGCCGCGACCTGGAGAGCTTAGCCCGGTTGTTGGTTTGTCCCGTGCGACACCAAGGTGGCGAAGTGTAGGGAAACCTGCTTGTACCCTACCGAACACGCCTGGCCTTTGTACAACACCTATGTAGATGCTCACGTTTTCGCTGCACTATCTCCATCGAAAAGTTCTCTGGTACGTGTTCAGGGTGTGCGCTTGTTCTTGAGGTTTGCCCTGTCAATGGGACTGCGCACATCGAGCACATCATGGGTAGTAGCGCACATGCTCCGTTTGAGTCAAGAAACCGAGTGGACCAGAGGGTCGAACTTTGCTCTTCGGCACTCTCCCCATACACGGCACGTGTCTTGAGAGTGCACCCAAGCAGGCAGGTCGCGCTGAGGCTAGCGTCTTGTCTTTGACCACGGCCTTGGCCAGCCGGTACTTCTAATTTTCTACATACCACACTATGCCTTTGTGCACCCCGAAGCACGTTCGCCCGCGTACACCGGCCAAAAACACAGCATCGGGCGACGCACTAATTACGTTCCAAGCTCTGCGTTCCTCGCTGAGGCCTGTGCACATCCTGAAGCATCGTTGCCTGCGACCACCCTTCAAATGCACAGAATCGGGCGACGTACTGTGTATGTACTTTAGTTCCGACCTTTGCGTTCCTCGCTGATGCCTGTGTCCATCCCGAAGCAGCTGTGCCCACGTCCACCCTTGAAACACACAGAATCGGGCGATTCACTACTTCAGTTCAAGCTCCGTGTCCGTGAACCGGGCCGTGTCGTACAGCCTGCCTAGCAACCTCGCTGCTCAACGTGACCTCAACTCTTCAAGTGTAGGATCAAGGATCAACCCCGGTTGCTCTCCTTTCGCAACCTCCAAACAGAACTCTCTGGCCAAACGAGCGCCTGCGCTTTGAGGAAGGCAGTACAAACGAGGCGTACGATGCACGGTCTCAGCACGTGCAGAACAGCAGCTACACATCGCGAACTTCGGTTTAAGTGCCACCACTCAAAGCCACTGCTGTTCCAGGTGATCAGGGCCTCCAGGTCAAGTCGACGCCTCCGCCGCACTCCCATGAATCGGCTTTAGTCTAGACTTGGTCCGGAAGGCACTCGATGGACATGAAAGGGCTTTTACTTTTCCATCCGTGAGAAAACACGAAGGTGTTGCTCATGTTCACAGGCGGATGTCGCACTCACCCTTCATCTTCCACCGGAGCTGCATCTTGGTCACCATCGGTATGTCTGCCCGCGAAACATTTTCCAACCGGAGTTTCAATGTTACCGAGGGATTTCGAAGGACAACTATTGAATGGGGGCGCAAAGTGGTGATTGCGCCGTTGTCTAAAGGCGGCAAAGTGCGTACGTCGACAAGAAAGGAGCTGGGCTTTCGGTTGCGTTTGGATCGCCGCTCTTTTTGGCAGAGCTTCTCCCTGCACATGTTTTCCTGACGAACCAACGTGAGACACCACGATAGCCGCAGGAGAACCACGAAGATACCGCCAGGAACGTATCACGTACCAGAACGGTAACGATCGTACTACATACGTGAGCGGCCCACATTGCAACACCGCGCCCCTGGCACAGCTTTGGTTTTGTGAAGGGTCAGAGGCGGGATACATGATACCCTTCTACGCTGTCAAACCATGCTTCCGTTCTTTATTCCCAAGTCAGTGCTCTGTTTCAAAGAGCAGCGAACGCTCATTCCGCGCTACCAGTATCAACTTCTACTTCAGCTGCCTCCTGTTCTAGGATGCAGGTATGGTTTTCCTTGTATTGATTAAGTCGTTGCTCGAGCAAAAAACAACGCCAATATATCGCCGAGCTCTTCCTATTTGCGCGCCTCTATACTGCAAGTAGATCAGTGTCATACCGGCAGCCGTTGATCAAGCCAGAGTCACTCAGAGCGAATGCACGCTTGAAAATGGCTTCAAATTTCCTGGTGCTTCGCCTACGGTCTGCATCGCTAAAATAGCGACCGAGTCAACCAAGTTGTCACGTTAGACGATTCAGGAGTTACTGGTCAGATGAACATCGTGGCACTGCTGTGCACCGCCGAGCGAATCGATTTGCCTGAGGGCGGCCGCATTCTACCGAAAAATCAATATGGTCTCCTCACGCTCTCTGCCTGTATCTGCGGCTAAAGCCGTGCTCACATTTCAGCTCTTTGTTGTCCTTGAGCCAAAGGTTTTCCAACAGATGCAAAGCCCCCAGGGCCTGAGGGATGTTTCCGGACAAGTTGTTCTTGTTTAGCCAGAGGCTGACCAGCCCCGAAAGCGATCCTAGCTCCTTTGGAATCTCGCCTGCTTGGCAGGGGAAAATAACCCATGTTGGGGTGCATTTCTTGTCAGGAGATTATGCCATCAGGAATTATGCTGTACGATCTCCGTCGGCCGGGCCACGATACGCATGGTGCACCCCAGAGACAGACGTGGCGATAGCGCTGAACCAACTAGTGCCGGTGATGCTCAAACCTGCCAGTGGAACCAAGCCAATAAAGACACGTTACCTTTGTGCACATGCTGGGCCCTATGTGGCTTGTACTAGAAATACAACGCAAGAGATCATACACGGCGGAGTCTTGTGGCAGCAGCTTGCTTGGTTAAGGACAGCTGATGTTTGCATAAACATTTGCGGTCTGGATTTACTAGTATTTTACCCCAACACGGAAATCATCTACTGTGTGCCGCTCACTCAAAACCTATATATGATAGCGGCATCGCCAGCAATACAGCACCATGCCGATCGCGCCTGGACTCACAAGTCTCGGACTTGGAACCACTTTCTACCAAAAAAAATACCATATCCACCCTCGCAAAGTTCAGTAGCTGATACCCAAAGTAGTTCGCGGTACTGTACTTCCAGCTTAAAACATACATCACGACGCCAATTTCGACGCCAGAACGCACGTGAAACAAACGCCCTTCTCTGGGCGGTCTCAAAAAAACGGGTGGACAAGGCTCACCCGCAAGCTCGTTTCCGTTCAGCTTGAGCACCTTCAAGTTGATGAGCTGACCAAGCTCGCACGGAATGGCACCTACGGTGAAGAGCCAGTCGGTCAGACCGGGAGGGGGGGGGGGGGGGGGG